ATGCAGCTCTCAAACAAGTAGTCCTTGGGAATGAAGATCTCCTCGAAGAACTCCATGCGCACTTTGATGCCCTCGGGCGAGCAGTCGGCGACCCAGCCACTCAAGATCTCGCCTATGAACGGCTTCCACACAACCATGCGGAACTTGACTTCCACATACGACGCTCCGTCGCCGGGCCGGAGCAAGCCGTCCTTTATTTCCAGAAGATCCCACACGGCCACGGCCAACCCCACGTTGGTGATGACCTTGTTTGAGTATTTCTGGTGCAACTCGTTTTTGAGCACGTGGTGGATTGGCATGTTGAACGACTGGGGCGGCACGCGCACCAAATCGGACATCTGTGAAAGTATGAACATGGCGGGCAGATGAACTTCTGGTTCGGTGGAACCGGCTTGTAGATCAAAATAGAACGGTCTCTTCGGGCCCAATGCCTTGGCTAGACGTGGTTCGGGTTTCCTAAATTCCTAACAAGCTTAGCCGCAAAACGCAGTCCTGTCACAAAATTCCACACTGGATAAAACGTCGAAGAATCTGGCGCTGTATTTTCCACCGGTTCTCCTCGCAAATCAGAAAATTATGAATGCTGCGGATGATTGCCTGTGTCGCGGCGATGAGACTGGCCGGTATGGCCGACTCTGCGTCTTTGGATTTTCCTAGTAAGCGCAGGCCGCGCGCGCGGCCCTATAAATATAAGGCTGGGCGCCCCAGCGGTTTTTCGCAGCCACGCCAAATTTCGGGATCGGCGCAACGTAAGTATCACAGCCGCAAAGTAGCCAGCTCTGCGTTTTGCAAGTGATTCGAGTGTGTTTGGGGCCTGTCGCAAGTCTGTTCCAAGTCTGTTCCAAGTCTGTTCCAAGTCTGTTCCAAGTCTGTTCCACGCCTGCTCCACGCCTGTTTCACGTCTCTCCCACGTTTCTCGTCTGTTTACACACGTTTCTCGTTCTCCACGTTTCTCGGCTGTCGCAACCCGACACCGCCATCTCACTTCGCGATGGCGCCTAATCTCGATTCGTCTCGCAAGAAGACCTACAACCTGAAGTCGTCGGATCGGCGCAAAGCCAGCGGGGTGCGTGCCGAGGCTTTTCTCCACAGCACACAAAAGAACAAAACTGGCAAGTTGGCGCCGGCCCGCAAGCCCGCTGACAAAGACGTGTGGGACCCAAAACACTTCCGTTTGTTCGTGGGCAATTTGGGCGACGATGCCACCGACGACATTCTTGCTGCCGCGTTCTCCAAGTACGCCAGTGTGAGCAAGGTGCGCGTGCCCATAGACGCCAAAACCCGCACCAACCGGGGGTACGGGTTTGTTGCGTTCGCCTCTGCTGATGACTATCTCAAGGCATTCAAAGAGATGAACGGCAAGTACGTGGGGCTGCGGCCCGTGCAGTTGAAGCGCGCCGAAAGCAAGGCCAAATAAAAAAATATCAAGTTGGGTCCTCAGTCGAACGAGTGTCTAGACATTTTCACCTTGCGGTTCCCCCTTGTTCATCTGCCTTCTCTTGACTGCTGGAAGCCGACTGCCCATGCTGCCTGTGTGCAGGCCGGTATCGCGTCGAAGTCCAGTGAGAAGATTCCGAGAAGCCTGTTCTGCTAGCCAGTCAGACCAGTCTTATTTGCAGGATACGTCCCCCAAATCCCCCACCCGCTGGTTGTCAGGAATCTCAGTGAAACATGATCAGTCACATGATGGTGTTTTCCCGTGTGGCGGGTCTAGGCCCAGGTCCCCTTGTGGCCCGCACTCTCCCTCGGCCATCCACCATGAGGGCTTTTTCCACGGTTTTACCGAGGCGAAACTCAAAGCTTCCGGAGTCTTTCGACCCCAAGAAAAACCTCCCTTCGCAGGGAGAATGGAAGCACTTGAAACAACACATTCCCGGCGAAGCCGAGCAGACAAACACTGTCAGAGACCGCATTCCAATGTTCCCTCTAGGAAAAGAAAATGTACCCACACTTTTGCCCAGGCCGGGCGTGCCCCGCGTCGGGCCCAATATGCCGTTCAGCCGGGTCATCCAGATCTTGAAGAGCAAAGTCAACCCTGAACTCATCTACGAGTCCGAGCCCCACCGACTCTACTTTCTTGGATGCTTCTGCTGCGCGGTGATGTTCACCATCTATGGCTGCGTGCTCCTTGAGTACGCGTGGTTCAATGCCAACAAGAAGTGGGACGAAAATGAGCAAGAGTTGGCGTTGCCGTTCCGGAGAAGGCAGTTCGGCATTGACTTGTTGACCTACGGCTCGTTGGGTGCCGTGGCCTTATTCGCGGCCTACCATTTTGCCACATTCCCAACCAGGCTCATGAGAAGAATCTGGTATCTCCCGGGACCCGTAGAGCACATCAAATTCACATCATATCCCTTGATTCCAGGCAGACCTACTCCAATGTACACAGTGCCTCTTGAAGATCTCGCCAGAAGGGACAAGGCCAGAGTGTGGACGGGCAAAGGTTTCTACGGCACTGCCGACAAGTCTTTGTTCTTCTTTGTGCTCAAAGAGAAATCAACAAACAAGAACTGGATTGTCGATAGAAAGGGCTTTTTCTGGTCAGACGGCCGTGTCTTTGATCTCTTGTTTGGCAAAGAAACGCTAGCGGAGGCCGAGGCCGGTATTCCATATGATGAGCAAATCGGTATAATTCATCGCGAAGTGAAGAAGAAGAAGAAGGAACTCAGAGCAAAACACGGAATATTCTATCAGTTCAAGCTTGGGGCACAGGAAGCGCAGAAGGACTTGAAGTCGGCGACGAGCTATGCCAAAACCTTGGCGGCAAGCAAGAAGCCCAAAGGCTTGCCAAAGGACAAAGAATAATGTAAATAGTTAACCCAACCCTGCTTTCTCGCAGACCACGAATCTACCTGTTTCTCAAATATTAACTGTCGAATGGCCCGTAATTGGACAATCCTGGTGGCCAAAAAACTTGTAGAGATATGACCACTGGATATTCCCAACATCTTTGTGTCGTCCGCTAGATTCACGCCTATAATTTTGAAGATCTTCTCCACTACGACGACGCAGTTCTTTCAATAAAGTGGTACTTTAACAGCTGGCATACTCAGTACTTTGAAGCCCGCATGCGGCTATTTCATTTATGCTGGAAACATCTGATCAAAAGTAAAAACAAAATTATAGACAGAAGCAAACAAGTCAATAATATTGCAGAATATGATTGACAAAATAGACGGCTGAACTAAACCGGCCAATGATTTGATCATCTTGTTTCAGGGTATTGCCAAAAAGTCTTAGTGAGGACAAACCCAGAATGGACACTAAAAGTGATCTTCTCAAGTCTTACCAAACCATCTGAGTTGAAACGACTACTACAGGCAAGTCTTCCTAAAATTCGATGACGTAATTTTCAATGCGTAAACAGATTGCCAGGAGGTCCGTCCAGGCCGTGATTAACAAAAAAAGACGGGTCGACTTTCGACACTAGGTATATCTAGAAGCCGCTCAATGGTCTTTTATACATTTTTGTACAGCTTTGTTCCATTAACCCGATGATTCTACCAAAACAAGCTATATTTGTTGCACTCACATAGTGCATCCACATAATACGGTATTCAATAATAAAGCGTTGAGATATGATCATCAGACCAATATTGGCTCAGAAATCTAATCGCACCTAGCATTCTTATGTCTCCGGTAAAATTTCGCCAAGTCTCTGCAATAAAAGAAAAAGATGAACCAGAGTTGTAAGGTCCCTGGTACCAGCTGAGTATAGTTTCCATTCGCAAAAAAGGAAGATGATTTCGCCCAGGATCGAACTGGGGACGTTCTGCGTGTTAAGCAGATGCCATAACCAACTAGACCACGAAACCGACTTCATGTAAAAAGTTTTCTCTAGTTTTATATATCACTTTAGCTATAAGACTATAAAAACATTCTTGGAAACTTTTTGTATTTTTCACTTTTCGCCTATTTTTGAGAAACCTCCCAATTTACGCAGCTAGCCTGGCCCGATGTTCATATTGGGAGATGTGGGATCCTTAAGTCCGCTACAACCAGCCGAGTTGAAGCGACTACTACAGGAGACCTATCCTAGGAGTCGATGACGTAATATCCAATACGTAAACAGATACGTGCCATGAGGACTGTCCAGGCCGTGACTAACGGAAGGGGACGGGCCGAGCTAAGACACTTGGTACGTAGCTGGGAGCTGTTTAAAGGTTTTTTATATATATTCGTTATATAGTTTTGCCCCTTT